GTGGCATTATTTTAATCGGATGTTTTTCTCTTGCGTATTTCACTTAAACTAACCCGGATCTAACTCAAAGATACTAATATATTTTTATTTTTCTAAAGTCATTTACATTAACTTTTATTTTCTAACGAGCACTATTCATAATTTGCAGTGTGGTTTCTGCACCATTTTTTACGAAATGCACAAAAACCCACTAACTGTACTTTGTTTATTTATAAAATTTGAAACTTATAGACTTATCATTTTCTTGGGTCTATATTGACTTGCTTGGCATATATTGGACTTTCTTATTCTTATTTCATCAATTATTTATTTCTGGACTCTACAGGTTGCTCAAATAGCAGTACAAAATACCCGGTAGAAACACTATTCACGAGATTTTCACGGAAAGTGCCAGACTATACTATTTTTCATTCTGAACTCATATTTGTCGTCAGAATTGTCAAATTATGTCTCTAAAATAATTTTGCTTATTTAAGCTCTACCGGTTAATTCACGAGACTGCGAATTCTCCGACAGAACGCACTGTTCATAACATAGTCATGATTACAGCCAAAATACTCGGAATCACTCACTGAATCTAATTATGGCATTTAAATCCTTAAATTAAATCTCTAATTAAGATTTACCAGTTAGGGTCATTATAGGATAATCATCATAAATTGGATTATCATCATAGATCGGATTAACATTAACATCAACATCAACATCACATTTAACCCAAGTTAATTGGGGTTGTGGTAGATGAACCCAATGATAAATAAAAGGAAATTAAAAAAATAAAAAAATAATATATATATATATATATATATATATATATAATTGGGGAAGGGGTAAATAAGATAAAAGACAAGAAGGGGAAAGAAGGAGAGGGGGGATTGAAGAGGAAAAGGACTAAAAACGGACTATCTAGAACATAGGAATACCAACGGGTTTAACTTTCCACTCTGCTTATAGCTTTTCTCCACTCCATCCTAAGACACACTGTCTGCCAATCTATATGACACTCCATTAAGTCTTGTTTAATTACCTTTCCCCAGGTAAGTTTCTCTCTATCTCTACCTCTCTTTGTGTCGGGCTCTTGGTAACAAACTTTGTTCTTACAGGAGCATCCAGGGGCCGTCTCATTACATGCCCAAACCACCTCAATCTATGTTCCCTTATCTTTTTAGTTATCGATACTACTTCTACCTTTCGTCGAATATCTTCATTTCTTATTTTATCCATCTTCGTATAATCACACGTCCACCTTAACATCCTCATTTCTGCTACTCTTATTTTATGCTCGTGTTGCCTATGTGCTGGCCAACATTCAGCTCCATATAACATTGTAGGCCTTACTGCTATCCTATAGAATTTTCCTTTTAGTTTAAGAGGAATTTTGCGGTCACACAAAAACCCAGATGCACTCTGTCATTTCATTCATCCTGCTCTAATTCTATGATTTACATCCTCATCAATCTCACCACCTTTTTGCAAAATTGATCCCAGATATCTAAAAACATCTTTCTTGGGAACCTCTTGACCAAGTAGATGCACGGGGTCTTGATCTCCATCTCTTACCAGAGAAAACTACACTTCATATACTCAGTCTTGCTCCGGCTTACCGTGAAACCTTTAGACTCCAAAGTGCTTCTCCACAATTATTATCATCCATCATGCTCTGATTCTATGATTTACATCCTCATCAATCTCACCACCTTTTTGCAATTTGATCCCAGATATCTAAAAGCATCTTTCTTGGGAACCTCTTAACCAAGTAGATGCACGCGGTCTTGATCTACATCTCCTACCAGAGAAAACTACACTTCATATACTCAGTCTTGCTCCGGCTTACCATGAAACCTTTAAACTCCAAAGTGCTTCTCCACAATTATTATCATCATAGATCGGATGATCATCATAAACTGAATTATGATCATAGACTTCAAAGTCAAGAATGCTGATTTGCATCTCGATATCTAGAAAAGTGGACTGATTTCCAGGTTATACTTCTCAATTCTGTCTCTGGTTTAGAATCCCCAAGAGATTGACGTCCTCCTCTTCGTCATCAAATGCGTTCTCTATTTCCATTCCTTCTTCGGATTGAATGTCCAAATTTGTCCATGCAAGTCGTTGCTCCAAATATTGGTTTTCTATACTCTACGCCTCCACAAGAGCTCGCTTCAAAATATGGATTTTCATGCATATCGGCACAAGTCGTCGCTCCAAATCTTGATTCTCTTTCTCTGCGCCCGCACAAGTAGTCGCTCCAAAACTTGGATTTTCTTGTCCATTGCTTGCTCAAGTTGTTGCTTCAAATCCTGGATCTGCCTTCTGAGCTCGTCAATTTCTATGTCACGCGGTATATCTGATGCAGTTGTATGTCTCCTTTAGGAACGAATCCACGTCCCCTATCTTCATGACTCCTCCATTGATGACCTCTATGATTCTGTTCAGCCATTGGTTGAAGGCAACTTAGTGCTCTGATACCAAATGATGCCGAAAGCGCATAAAAAAAGTGGCTAAATAGAAAGTTGAGATTTTTATAAAAGAGTAACCTGATAACTCATATTTTGTTTCACTTATTTATTACTCTTGGTTGATATTTTTATGATTTATTTGAATTAAATAAATGTTTTTTGGGTCAAATCACAATTCTAGATTTTAATTGGGTTTAATTGATTTTTGTCATAATTTTCCAGATTTACACTACTTCCGTATTTTGACCATATCTCACTCTACAGATGTCCGATTGACTCTGTTCTTGTTGCGTTTTGCAGCTAACAGATAGGGCTACAATCGCTATTTCATCTACTGAAGCCCAATTCAAACGGGAAGATGGTCTAAATCTTGCACCAAGTCGGACACGTTTTGCTGAAGTTTTAGACTTGTAATTTAAATTAAAACCCAATTACATAAGTGGCCCAAAGCCAAGTTTTATTTTATTTTATTTATTTTATTTCGTATTTTAGATAGATTGGCCGATCAGAACTGAACCCTAACCCGATTTGGGTAGGGGTATATGACGGCAGAGTAGGAAACTATTATTCATTCTGTAATTTCGAATTCGGGGATCAAAGCACTTTCTCTGGAGCGTTCTTCGCGTTCTTCATCTTTTTCTTCTTCTTTTTATTTTATTTTAATCATGTTTACCTTAGCCATACGAGGCTAAGAACCTTTTAATCAACCTAAGGGTAACAGATTCCATGTATTAGTCTTGAGGGTCTGCGCTTTATTTTAAATCAGTTTTGTTTCCCTTCCCACCTCAGATTGATATCGTGCGATCGTGGATATTCAATCTGAGGTTCGCGATTGCGATTATGGAAAGGGATTAATCATCAGATTTGATGGTTAGATTGATTGACCCTATGACCTTAAATCAAACGGGCTGATACTCTGCGATTGTATGAGTAGAAGCACTGTATTATCAAATGCTAAGCGATCGCTTAGAGAGGGTTGTCAATTGGAAATAAGGATTCTGATTCGATTGACGATCAATCACGATTCTGATATCTTTTTATCCGAGGAAAGACGTCCATGGAACCCTAACCTTAGGTTGGTTAATTTTTAATTACGAATTTTTATTCCAAATTTATATTCTGCCTTTTTAATTATTCAATCAAAATCCAAAACCCCCTTTTAATTTTCTGTCATCATAAGCGATTTTTACCAAAACAATTTCCTTGAGATATGACTTAGGGTTTCCACTTTACTACAAATTTTCTGAACCCTAATAAAGAAATGGTTTTTAATTTGCACGAGTTCGACAGCTCGTGTCATAACCCTCCAGTTCTCAATTTATATTATCAAAATAACAAAATTCAACTCCTAGAATAAGGGTCTTAAGCACCTTTTTATAGACTAATTACAAATTGATCCATAATTCGAAATTCAAAATCTGAAATCCCAAAAATAAGAAAAATTACTAAAATAAATATAATGATAATTAATTCCTAAAAATAAATAAATAATTACATTCAAAATACATCCTAAATCTTAGATTTCAAATCATGTCAAATGTGTTGTTTTTCTTTTCTTACCAAACAAATCGCAATCATATTTGCGATTTTATTTCAACTTGGATTTGATTGTAATTTGTTATATTTCAAATTACTACTTTTTTTAACAATTGGGCAATATTTATTGGGCCACAATTCTGATTGACTTCGAGCTTTCTGAATCAATGGTTGAAGCATGTGCAATGAGCCAACTGTAAGTGTATCAGATTTAGCTTATGCTATTAATATTGTCAGTCAATTCATGCATAATTCGAGAAAAAAACACATACAGACAGTGGAAAGAATTATTTAGTATCTCAAAACTACTCTTGGCAGAGGACTACTATTTGACGTGATGGAAATCTTTCCTTAGAAGTTTACACTAATGTTGATTATGCTAGGTCAATGACTGACCGTCGATCTACCACTGGTTATTGTATGTTTCTTTGTGGTAATTTAGTGACATAGAGAAGTAAGAAACAAGATGTGGTTGCTAGGTCAAGTGTAGAGGCGAAGTTTCGAGCGATGCCCAAGGTATTTGTGAATTGTTATGGTTAAAAAAAATTATACTTGATGATCTCCAAATAAAATCTAAAGGACCTATGAAGCTACTTTGTGATAATAAGTCCGCCATCTATATAGTTCATAATTCATTCCAACATGATCGAACTAAGCATGTTGAGGTCGACCGTCACTTCATTAAAGAGAAACTTGATAGCGAGCTGATCTCTACTCCATACATTCCCTCTAGGCGCCAATTAGCTGATGTTTTGACAAAAAGACTCTCCAAAGATAGATTTCAAAAACTTACTAGCAATCCGGGAATGATAAAACATCTATTCCTCAATTTGAGGAGGAGCATTTTAAATAATATTGTATTATTTAGATTAGTATTTTATTATTTAGACTACTCTAAAAGTTTCTTTAGGCTTAGCTCATTAGGTCATTTAGTCTCTTTAAATAATGAGCCTTTGTACAGTTATTTACACAATAGAATAATACACTCTTTCTTTTCACTGAATTAAGTAGCCACACTGATAGTGCATAAAAAGTTACCATCATCAAGTCTCCAATGTTTTTGGTATAGTTGGGAGAGTAGGCATTGATGATTGTTGAAAGCAATTTATATTACTGTCATTTATTTTAGAGTTCTATGATTAATTACAAAACTTCAAGGTTTTAATTCCTGGGTAAAAGTACTCTACCTAATTGACAAAAGGAGAAGCCATGGAATGAAGACTATCAACAATAGAGTCGATCAAAGCATGAGAACCACTCGTAGCAGCAAATGTAAGGTGCTTTGGAGCTTCAGCTCTATCAAAATACAATGCTCCTGATACCAGTTTTTCCTTTGGTTGTAACGCCAGCCAGATAACTGTGTCTGCACCTTCTTCACTTGTTCTAAGCTTCCCCGAAAGCCTATAAATAATTGAATCAATATATAAACTATTTGGAAGGTGCCAAATAATAATTTTACTTTCTTTTCTTTGGTGCCCATATTTTAGTTGCAAGTTATTTAGACTCGAAGTATGGACAATCAAGAAGTCCACTTTATCTTGTGCAGAAATTTAATATAATTATAAAGAATAGGGGTAACAAGAATCAAAGTTGTGACAACTTGGTCATCACATGCTTTGTACAATGTAAAAGACGAACTCTCTGCCCATGAATAGCTTTTGTCTCCAATTTTTATAGTAACAATCAATAGGTTCTATGGATAGTGTAACGATAAACAATACTCACGCTTTAGAGAAGCTTGGCAAACTCTTTGCAACCCCAGGAGTCTCAGCCCAACCAGGGTGCATTGAGTAGAATCCTATCCCTTTGTTCTTATATTTCTCAGCCCACTTTTCTGTTAGGGCAACCTGGCATAACAAATATGTCATAAATTTGCATGAATACAGACAAACGAAAAAAAATAAAAAATATAAACAGAAAGCACTCAAGTAATCTCTTTTAAATGCCTCTAAGATTCTATCAAGGAAATATGGATTCTAAATTATATGACATGCAAACATGATAAAAAAGATTTTGAAAACATTCCACGTGATGTCAGATAGTACAACTGCTGCCTGTTTTCTGATTACATGGATCATACAAAGAGTTATATATACAATAGGTATTTAATTATGGTCCACTGTAATATAAAAATTTTCAACCACAAGTAAACCATTTTGTGTCACAATAAAAAAAAATCACTCCCCGTTAAACCAGACTAGCAAGTGTGGGGTAAAAGTAATCCTTGTACGCAGCCTTACCCTTGCATAATTGCAAAGAGGCTGTTTTTGTGTCACAATAAAAACTTGCTAAAAAATTGTATTTAATTATGGACCTTAGTTACTAATACTATAATGATGTGACGCTTTTTTACTTATGCTTAGAGTATTGCATTGATAGTGGATCTAATTTAAACTAAATAAATCAAATTTCTTGATAGAGATTTAACTTTTGAAAACTAAGAACCAGATACAGTGATTATAGCACCAAACTCAAAATTCAAAAGACTAGGCTGTTTCAACTGTGGAACATTCAATTTCATAAGCCAAACCACAAGTTTCTTAAGAAATCAAAGGTATTTAAATGCTTATTTATAATACTTGTTATCTGATAGATAAGAGTAATATGCTCAGTTCAAATTAAAATGTTCTAGTAGTTCTTAGTTTACATATAATATATCATTATTAGACACATTGGATTTGATGAATTAAAAAAAAAAAAAAAAAATTGTGTATACGTAACATTTGAATCACTAGAAGGATTCCCTTGCAGTAACCAAACAAAGATTTTACTGGAGGTCCACCACCTAAAATATTTGTCATGATAGATATTGGTGCTTAAAATTAGAAGCATTATCTTGGAGGCACAATCCAACAAATGGAATGAGCTATAAAGCAAGACTGTTGAAGGAACAAAAAATTTTCCAACGAACTTGTGGAAAAACAGGGCAAATTCACCACTATATAATAAACTAATAATAGTTTCTGTTGTTAAGTATGCACAGCTAAGAGAAATTGGTGTGTTCTCTTCTCTAAGACAATGAACCCAAAGATATTACATCATGTAAGTTGAATTGAAGAGAATGTGCATATTGAAGTAAGTTGATCCAAAATCACCAGTAAATTTTAGACAAGCTAAAGATACTTTGCTACAGTTTTATATTTAATTGTAAAACATCACAAGAAAAAATAATGTACCCTAATATAGAATCATTAATTTAACTGACCTGAACACGCTTGTTTCGAGCATATTGTTCAACCCCATTAAAGTTGCTCTCGGAATACTGGTACAGACAACCAAATAAATTATACTAAAATCCTATAAATGATTGAGTCTGCTGACATGTTCATAATGCAGTTACCTGTAGATCTTTGGTCAAGGGAGAAGCATACATTCCACCAGAAGAAACAGTAATTACACGTGCATCAGGGGAAGCTTTCTCCAGTAATGGCACCATCAATTCTGTCATGGTGTAAGTGCCTAATACATTTACAGCAAAGTTCAACTCATACCTGGATTATGACAGAATACATTAAAAGGAAGCAGAAAAATGCAGGTCACAGGTAGAATTTGCAAAATTTATATTTCTATATTAAACAATAAAGAATCACCCTTCTGATGTGGTAACTCGGTTTTGCTCGAGCAAGCCGGCATTGTTAACCTTGATGCAAGAAATTATTCCATATTAGATTTTATTGCACAAGACACATTAAAAGTTGTAATTTCTTAATATAAAACAGTATCCATCAGCAACCTACAGATATCCCATTAAGTTTCAATAGTAAAGCTACCAGAAATTACATGCAGTGAAGTAATTGCAAGAAACAATCGAGAATTTACCAACACATGAACTGGCACATTTTTTTTAGAAAGCCTGGAAGCAAGTGACTTGATTTCAGTGACAGATGAAAGGTCACAAATCTGCAAGACAAAATAGCTAGTCATATAAAATCATTATGGAAATTATATTTTGCAAATGCTTCCAGTTTATGCACTAAATTGTTGAAAGTGCCATATAGTTCATGTTCAATTCATGAAATTAGGAAATTCTAATGCTTCTGATAATTCAAAAATAAGGATTAGTGACTAGAATATAGAAACAAAAAAGTGATACCTCCAAATACACATTTTGATTGCCGGTTCTAGTTTGAATTTCAGAAAGAGCAGCCTCTCCTCTCTCCTTATTACGACATACAAGATACACGGTTGCACCACTGTTGAAAATCATTAGCCATAACATATAACTACACACTGAAAAAATAAAAATAAAAAATAAAAATAAAAACATTGGAGAAAGATCAATTCAAAACCGCTGTGCAAGACCCTGAGCTGCTGCATAGCCAATTCCAGAGTTAGCTCCTGTAACAATGCAATTCTTCCCTGGTATTTGTGTTTCGATTTCCTCTGGTTTGAATTTCTTAGAATGATCACTACAAAAAGTTTAATTTATACATTGGCTAAACACACAGTGAAGCCAAATAACAATATCAATAATACAAAGCTACCAGTTTTCTGCTACTCTAATTTCTAACTTTCCAACAAACTATATATATATAAACACAATAAATAGTACCCAATTTTCATGTCCACTCTTTATTTCTACTATACTGTTTTTCAATATTAAAAAACTCCATTCAATCTTGTAAGCTCCCCAATAATTCAAAAACAAACGAAACGAACACAATTTATGTCCAAATTGATTATTCCAATAAAGTAAAAGTTGAAAACGGATAACACAATTTATCTATCTCGGTAAAATCAATGTTGTTGAGCCACGTCATGAATAACAATTTTGAGTATCCCCTCATATAATAATAATAATAATAATAATAATAATAATAATAAGTAGGTCAGTTTTGAGGAACTCACAGAAAACCAGCTTTGGTGAAATTAAGGTACCCATAAACACCAAAAGCCGTTTGTCTCCATGTCTGGGGAAGCACAAAAAGTTTAAGGTTAAAGAACCATGAAATTGTGGGAATTAAGGTAGAATGTAGAATGAAGGAAGATGGAGAGAGAAATAATGGAAAATTGGAAACTAGACCTTGAGGAGGAACATAATGGAGAGGTGAAGTTGAAGTTGCAGTTGCAACGTTCCACTTTTCATTTGCGAATGCAATCATGGTCTTCTTGTGGATTCTTGACGTGTGTATCGAAGAGCATGTTTTGTTCACGTGCGTGGCAACTGGCAAGTTTAGAAATTAGAGGCAACGTAGCAGCCATAGCTACCACTCTTTTGCTCCTCCTATTTCGTACATGATGTAATCATGTGATTTTTTTTTTATATATATATCTCTTTATTTATTAATGATAATCAAATCTCACTTATTTAATATATATGAAAATATAAATAGATACAAAAATTTTAATTTTTTTATGAACAAGTAATGTAAAATTTTAACGTAAAAGAATTCAACTCCTTGATTCATTTATTACTAATTGACTCTTCACTTCAGGACCTAATTTTTAATTGCGCACAAAGTTAAAATTAGTGGCATTAGAAAAATGGAATAGGTTATTCATACAATCAATTTTTTTTTTAAAATCACTTTTTTTATTGTAGAATTAAAATTAAATTCATAATTATAAAATAATTTCAAATAAAAATTATTAAATTAATTTTGATCCAATAATAAAAAAAATCATAAAAAATGATTAAAAAAAATTATAAGTATAATCTCCCATAAAATAATTTAAAGAAACACCTTTAGTTTAAAATAGATTAGAAGGTGCATCACTTAATCCACTATTTTTTTTTATCACTTCTCTGCTATGTGATTTTTTTATAAGTTTATTTAAATTCTTATTTATAAATGTTATTATGTCAAAAAATACCCCTCAAAAATAGTCTCGTATAAATCTGCAAAACCAACAGTGTCTCTCGTAGGTAGGATGTAAAGTGTTGAATCCACTCAAAATCACGTATTCTTTCGTGCATGAATATGCAAAATAAATTATTCTTCGTGTCTATTTGGAAAATTTTATTTATTGTAAAAAGAGTATTTTGTTATAATGAAAAAAAAAAGAAGCTAAAAGCTTTTAAGAGTAGCTTTTTTTAAGATATATATTAGCGTTTTAGAATTTCCATATATATTTTTTAAATTCACCCTTTTTCCAAATTTATATTTATCAATTTTACTCTTTACTCTAATAATCCATCTTAATAATTAATTATTTTGTATTCATTCCTTCAAAAATTAAAACAGCTTTATAAAATCATCAAACAGCTTTTTTTTTTATTTTTTAATCTCTTTTTCTTAACTTTAGCTTAAAAGTGAATTTTAGCTTTAAAAAGTACCAAATATGCCCTCCATTTTTTGCCTATTATTCTGGTGGATGGATGGAATGGAAGACGTTAGTGTGGAAGTTTATTTCCAATTCAAATGGCGTGGCACAATTAATGTTGAGAGACCATTTGTGGGATGTCCCAATTATAAGGCAAGTTTTAGAGTACTTTTAATTTTTAATTTTATTAACATTTAAAGAAAATTTGTGCTTGCAAGTTGTAAGCAGAGATGGCGCGTAATTCGATTCGGCGCGTTTTAAAAAGTGGGTAAAAAATTTCAACTTGCCCCGCCCCTTGAATCTGTTTATATATTAAAAATGTAAAAAAAAAAATTAAAATTTATGTTTCCATGGATGTAAAATGAATCGAATGAAGATCAAAGAATTGTAAAATATAGTTAATTATTATTTTCCAAAAAAACCCTCTCAACGGATCAAACCATTTTGATATGCTCTTATCCATAGCAGATTCAAGTGGGTTGGTAAATTGAAAATCTCAATTCAACTCGCCATAATTGATGGATTAAACGAGACAACCCATTAGGTTGAAGCAGTTCTGTTATCCCTACCTACTGATACTGATGAAGTGCAATTTATTTTTTCAAATGGGTCAATCTTGGGTGTAATGCTAGAAAAGAGGGGATGTAAAGTATTAAAAATATATAAAATCATTAATGTAGTCTCGTCTATCAGTTTAAACTATATATAAAAAGAATAATTATTAAGAGATTCCAATCATTGAATGAAAAACTGCAAAGCTTAAAGAAACCCTTGGAATAGAAACTGAGAGAAAGAGAACAAAGACCATAGAAAAAAGTAATCTGTTTGTATTAATTTGCGAATTACATGAGGATCAGTATATATACAAAACTGATCGAGAGAAATATGGAAGAGAGTATACACGTAAGCAAAGGCAGTTATAACAAACTAACAACTAATTAGCACTAGTCTCCCACGTGCTTAGTTGAGATGGAGATATCATTCAATAAAGCTTGAAAAATGAAAAAGAAAACGAAACTTAGTGATGCAGCTGGAAGAAAGTCTAGAGGATAAAAATAAATTACTGGCTCAAATGATCGAAGACACAAAAAGAATGGGTTATGGGCTTATGGCCATCCTTATTTTCTTGTGCATATGGGTCGTTTTGTATAAATATATATATAGAAGGATGTTGTTTAATACTGATAACTGATTCCTTTTGGTTCGTACAGATGGTTGCTGAATTTCAAATGCAATAGAGAGCATATACTCAGGTTGTTGCTCTCTCAATTTCTAATGAAAATCATCTTTTATTATTAAATGCGAACTCAAGGTTATTGAAATATTATATCAATTTCTATTTCTATTTCCATTAGGCAAAAATATTACATCAACTTTTAGTATTAAATGTATAAAGCTCAAATAAAACTTAAGTATTTGGAAATGAGACAAGGATTTGTTTATTGTTCACGCGAACAGTGCAATTCGACTTAAAAATAAATCACATAAGAGATAAGTGATAAAAACAAAAATTAGAGAATATGTAATTTTAGAAAAAATCACATAAAATATTGACTTAACCCTTATTTCTATAAACATAAAAAAAATAAAAATAAAAACTTCCATTTAAAGATCTTGATACAATGAACTCCTCAAACCTAGAAGGACATACACATGATGCAGCCAATTAACCAACTAGTACTAAATCCTATTGGTAGGATACCTAAAAGACAAATCATAAAACTGTTTCCTATACAAACGTTGACGTAAAAAAAAATTAAAAAAAAAAAATGAATGAATGAATGAATCTAATATCAAGTTTGGCAATCTTCTTTGTGAAGTAGCTGTTACTGATGCTCCTTGAAATTCTGCAAATACTTACATCCTTTAGAACTCATTATGTATCCCTGCACCAGAAAGTAGAATAGGATACATATATCAGAAGCATGATATAAGAGATGTTCAATATATTCAAGTTGATAATCGTGAGACCTAGACTAGTTATAGTTGATGCAATCCTAGGGTAACCAGTGAATATAATAAGGAAGGGCTTGATAACTTTTGTGGACTCTACTGAAAATTTGGAGTAACTCTTGGAGCCATTACGGCATTGTTTTAGCCTTTTGAGTGATTTAAAACTAAATAGATTCTAGCAACCTTACAGACAAGCTTGCACCAGGTCTGATTTGAATAAATTGAGAATTGAACTCCAACAGGTAAATTGGTTATAGCGCTTCAGCATAATGCTTTAATAACATAACCAATTTATTAGTGAGCTTCGAACAAAGCTGCTATTTTGTGACTGAAAGATGATGGTTTGAATCCAAAAAACAACCTCTTTGCAAAAATATAAGAGTAAGAATTGAAAGTAAAGAGTTGTATATTATTAAATTGTATAATATCTATACAAGGGTTCTCTATTTAAAGAGATTGAAAAAAACCAAATGGGCTAAGCCCAAAGACACTTATAGAGTATTCTAGCTAATACAAATAATAAGTAAATAATTACAACATTAATTGTAATATTTACAATACTCTCTCTCAAGCTGAGGATAGATATTTATCATTCTCAACTTGCTAGTAAGCTCTTAAAACCTATCATTAGGAAAACCTTTAGTCAAGACATCAGCTAATTGACAACTAGACAGAATATATGGAGTAGTAATCAGTTCGCTATCTAGTTTCTCCTTGATGAAGTGGCAATCAATCTCAATATATTTGGTTTGATCGTGTTGGACTGGATTGTGGGTTATATAGATAGCTGACTTGTTATCACATTGTGGGTTATATAGATAGCTGACTTGTTATCACAGAGTAATTTCATAGACCCTTCACATCTCACCTTGAGATCATCGAGAATAATTTTCAGCCATAATAACTCACAGATGCCTTGAGCCATGGCCCGGAATTCTGCTTCTGTACTCGACCTAGCAATCACATTTTTCTTTTTACTTCTCCATGTTATGAGATTTTCACAGAGAAACATACAATAGCCCGAGGTAGACCGTCGGTCAGTCGCGGATCTAGCATAATCGGCATCTGTATACACTTCTACGGCTAAATTTCCTCTTCTCTGGAATAATAGTCCTCTTCCTGGTGTGCTTTTTAGATATTGAAGAATCCTATCCACAACTCACAGGTGTTTTTCCCTCGGATCATGCATGAATTGATTAACAATACTAACTGCATAAACTAGATCAAGTCTATTATGAGCTAGGTATATCAATCTTCCACTATTCATTGATACTATCATTTGTCAACTGGATGACTCTCATTTTCACTTCCTAGTTTGTGATTCTGCTCAATTGGAGTACTGAAAGGTTTACACCCAAGTTTTCCTGCTTCCTTAAGGAGATCAAGAACATACTTCCGTTGACAAATAAAGATCCCTTGTTTTGAATGAGCAACTTCTATCCCAAGAAAATATCTCAGTTTTCAAAGGTCTTAAACTTTAAATTAGTCAGTCTTTCTTGCAGAGCATGCTTCTCATCTATATCATCCCCTATTATAATAATGTCATCAACATAAACTAGAAGGATAGTGAGCTTACTTTCCTGAAAATGTTTAAAGAAAAGTGTATGATCCCTTCGACTTTGCTTATATCCCAATGAAAGCATAACTTTTGTAAATCTTCCAAACCAAGCACGCAGGGATTGCTTCAAGCCATATAATGCTTTCTTTAACCTGCAAACTTTGTTTTCTCCATTTGTAGAGTTAAATCCTGGTCGGATCTCCATGTAAACCTCTTATTCTAATTCCCCATTGAGGAAGGCATTTTTCACATTAAATTGTCTCAAATCCCAATTAAAATGAGCAGCAAGGGACAATAGAACTCTTACAATGTTCATTTTGGCCACAGGAGCAAACGTTTCTTCGTAATCAATGCCATAGGTTTGTGTGCACCCCTTGGTAACCAGTCGAGCTTTATACCTTTCAAGAGTCCCATCAGAATTATACTTCGGAGTATACACTCCTCTACATCCTACTGCCTTTTTTCCATTTGGCCTGTCTACGACTTCCAATGTATTATTCTTCTCCAATGCATTCATCTTGTCATGCATGGCTTGAACCCAATTGTCATCCTTAATGCTTCATGTACTGATTTCGGGATTGAAATGTAGTCAAATGCTGTAATAAAGCTTCTATGCTCCATAGAGAGATTCTCAGAGGAGAAAAAATGAGAAATAGGTTGTTGGGTACAATACCTTTACCCTTTTCTTACAGCAATGGGTAAGTCAACAGAATTAATATCAGGTTTAGGAATAAAAGAAGTAGTGTATTCAATACTTACCAGCGGTTCAGACGATTACAATTGCTGGTGAGACAGTATGGGTTGTTTCTTCCTTTGGTACAATAGTTTCAGGTGTCCCAGCTTTACGTACTTTCTGTCGATCAATTGGAAGCATGTCATAAGAGAAATCAGATGAATTTTCAGCCTCATCAACTAAGTCTTCCTTCTTATTGTCATGTAGTGTAACTACTGGGGTAGGAGATGATGTAGGTAACAGAAGGGGAGACTCAGACTCAAAGAAAATGGAAGAAGCTTCAATATTGTTCTCCCCCTGAAGCCGAAGAGGTAGAAAGTAAGACTCAGATTCATGGAAACTAACATCCATAAACAAATAATTTATGACTCAGAGGGTGATAACATTTGTATCTTTTCTTGTTGAGAGCATAACCAAGGAAGACACACTTAAGGCCTCGAGGCTCTAATTTACTCCGATACTGTTTATGGACATGGACAAAGACAATGCATCCAAAGATACGAGAGTGGAGACTCTGCATAATTGGAACAGAAGGAAAAAAAGAAGGTAATGAGATCTACAGGACTTACATGGCCAAGGATTCTGGAAGGTAAGTGGTTAATCAAATAGGCTGCAGTTAATACAACTTCTCCCCAGTAAAAGTTGGGTACAGATGTCTGAAACCTTAATGCTCTGGTGACTTTAAGCAAATGTCGATTTTTTCTTTTAGCAGCCCCATTTTGTTGAGGGGTATCCACGCATATGAGTTCATGAACCATTCCTTTGTCTTTAATAAATTGGAAAAGATGTTGATTAACATATTTTGTACCATTATCTGATCTCAAGCATTTGATACGTTTACCAAACTGGTTTCAATCATATAATAAAACTGGATAAACAACTATGTTGCTTCTGCCTTATCTTTCATCAAGAAGATCCATGTAGTCCGAGTATAATCATCAATAAAAGAGACAAACCACTTAGCACCAGAAACATTAGGTACCTTGGAAGGCCCCCAAACATCAGAATGAATAATGGTACACGATGATGATTTTCAAATTGACAGACATCACAATTAAAAGACTCAACAGACTGCGACACAAACAAAGACGGAAACATAGACTAAAGTAAACTAAAAGAAGGATGACCCAAGCGCTTATGATGAAGCCAAATAAGAGAATCTGAAGTAGACTGACGAGTCATCAAAGTCTGATCGATGGTACCTTCTGCAGCAAAGTCTGGAACCAGATAATACAACCCACCCTGCTCCTTAGCAACTCCAATCATCTTCCCCGTTGTGAGATCTTGAAAAACACAATGAATAAGGAAAAATGTTACAGTGCAATTCAAATCTGTAGTAAGCTTATGAGTAGAAAGGAGATTGGTAGAAAGTTGGGGAACATGGAGAGCATTCTTGAGACATAAGGAGGGTTGGATTTTAACGTACCAGAACCTGCTACTGATGTGTGTGATCCATCAGCTACGGCTATAGTACGGATACCAATAGTAAGATTATAAGAAAGAAAAAGGTCATTGCAGCAAGTCATATGATCAGCAGTACTAGAATCCACAATCCATGAAGTTTTGAAATCAGTACAAGAAGAAATAAAAGAATGAGTGCATGAGTTAGCAGACCCGTCAGTGGGCTGAGAATCAGAAGGAGCTGGAGTAGTGGCTTTAGATGAGAGCATGACAAATCCTTCGGACAATTTGGTATCCATCATGTCAGCCCTACGACTTTCTTCACCCCTGACAGTGTGAAAAACTTCAGAAAGAGTAGGTAATTTTTCCTTACCAAGATTTGAACCCGAATAGGGTCATATTCTGAGTTGAGGCCACAAAAAAATCAAAAATCTGATTTCTTTCAACAGAGGTGGCCAGAGTGGCTGCATCCTTGCTACACTTCATCTTCAAACTCTTGTACTGATCAAGCTCAATCCATAATGCATTCAGAATGCCATAATACTCTGTTTCAGAGAAAGAGCCTTGCTTGGTAGAAAAAATCCTATTCCGAAGATCGTAGCAGGTGGCGGCATCTTTGTTTCATTGAATAGGTAAGAACATGCAATGTTGACTAACCTCAGGAGTTATAGAGTTCCATAGCCACGTCATAAAAAGAGAATCTTCGTCATCCCAATTAGCAAATTTTGGATCTGTTATGGCGGGAACAGGTCCTTCAAGATGAGCAATCTTACGACGCCCTTTGAGAATGGGACGAACAAGCTGACACCATTACAATAGTTTTTTCCATTAAGACGATAATTCTGATGGAGAGCAGGCAGATCATTTGGGCTAAGAGAAGTCATAGAAGGTGTAGCAGATGGTTGATTGATCGGAGTATCTTCAACGTTTGACATAAAGTTCAAGACGATAAAGAAAATGAAAAACCTTCGCCGGAACAGTAACAAAAACACTCTGGGAGTGAAAACCGTCGTCGGAACAGTAACGAAACCACTATGGGACCACTGTTTGACTTCGTGACTGAGGCAAAAAACAACGGTAAGCACAGATCCGGACTCGCAATGAGAAGGCGAATTGGTCTATCCAAGTCGCGCGTGCAGAAGATGTCACACGCACCGCTGCAAGGTATGGGAGGGCACGTCTATTTCACACGCAAGAGGGAGCGTGAGGGACAGTCTCGAGATGGGTCCTAGACAAAGAAGATCGCCTCGTCGTGGTGATCACAACCGTGGGTAGATCACCAGAACAGTCACCAAAAGACTCGCCGGAATAGTGACCAGAGACAGTGGTCAATGGTGATACTGATCTGAACAAATAATGGTCCTCTAGGTCCAAAAGGTCCCCGGAAAAAATTTCTGGTGACGGCTGATGGCGGCGAGAGGCAAAAATAAGGGTTTTGCTTTAAAACAGTAGTCGCGGAAGTAGAGCCCTTAGGATCGAGAGCTCTGATACCAAATTGAAAGTAAAAAGTTGTATATTATTGAATTGTATAATATCTGTACAAGGGTTCTCTATTTAAAGAGATTAAAAAAACCTAATGGGCTAAGCCCAAAGACAGTTCTAGAGTATTCTAGTTAATACAAATAATAAGTAAATAATTACAACACCAATTCTAATATTTACAATAGTAAGGCTACGTATAAGGATTTCTCTCACCCCTATTTTTCACAACTCGGGATTTCATGCAGAATGGTTTTACAATGAACAAAAGCATAAAGAGAATAAAAATATGATACTAAAGGTAAAGTCAAAACTTGGAAAAACTGGCAGGTGCAAGAAATTGGAACCCTATTAGTTGAAGTGTTTAATTCTGAACTTAATGTGGCATGGTCTAACCCCTTAACAGAAGTAACAAACCAGAAATATTAGTAACCAAACTCTTTTAACTAAGTAATGAAGAATATATCCGGTGACCAAGGCAAAACAGATATGGCAAGAGGATCCAATATTTACCAAATATCAAAATAGGAATTTGACTAGTGGGAATAGATCCTCTCATGTCGCATTTAATGTGACCAGGTTATTTAAAATTATCTCAACCATTAATAGACATACTAACAGTGATCCTTTCCTCACTCTCTATCCTGACGCATTTTCTCCCTCGCCTCTTGTTACCATTGATTTGTCAATGGATGCCTAACATTGTCTCAAATGACTTGGTCAGAATCTAGAGGATCAATTTCCATTGACTAGTAGTATTATTATGGCCAAGACATTCCCTCAAGTTGCTTTTTGCAAGGGTTATGACTTATGATTCTCAACAAGAGTGAGGGGTTGAATTGGGTGAGAATAGTTCATTCAAATCTTATGCATCCAAGACAAGCTTATATATTATAATATGAAGTAATTCACCTGTTCCAATTAAGCAGCTAAAATCCAACTACCTAAGTTTTTTTATGACCTCTTCATTTTCAATCTCTGCATCAGTGAAAGTTAGGGCTCGCTGTAGCTTCCTGGGAGAGAACATCTCAACATCAGCCATATATGTGGCAGTCACGGGTCTGTGATCTGACAGCTTGAGCTCAGCCCTTCTATAACTCAGTAATCTCATTCCCTTTCCATATGAAAGAATCCGATCACACCTGAGAGGTGATTATAAACGTAAAGAAAATTCATTAATAAAAAAAGGTATGTAACAGACACCACTAGTATACATTGAAGCCAGGTTTAAGGACATAACTAAGGTAAAAACATTTTCAAAAACTCAGGGTGATAATTAACATATTCAGTTTGACAGCATTCAGAATTTTCCAAAAGTTTCAAGTAAGACCTTTTGGACAAGTCTCCAAGTGTCTGCAGATCTCTGTTTAGAACATATGCTTGGCAGTGGCACAGTTATACAATTGCTATATATTTTCTTGAGCATGTAGAAGTATTAGTATCAAATCCTATCTAGCTCAACTATTGCATTACATAGAGGAAAACCTTGCTTTATTGCAAGCATCATTATCAGACTTAGCCCGAATCGGCCAATTAGATCAGGAATTGATCCCTTAAGAGAATTTTAGGAAGTCATTGTCTACCATAAGCACTTATATCAACACTTGAAAAGTATAAAGGTATTTTTTGGACATTGGTGTGTTTCTAAAATGACCCGCAAAACCTTGCATAAATTAACTGTTAATTTGAATTCCTATGGTAGGCAATGCCAAACTAAGAATTTCTCTGATCTCCTAGTCACTCTAGGCCAACCAATAAATTGGTAATGTTAACGAAGCATTATGAATCGAGTTGAACCACCAGGTTCTTGGGCCTACTTGGTTGACTCGATTTGGCTTTTAACTCAATCGAATCATCAAATTTATATGAATTGGACTACTTGAGAGTAAATGTATTATAGAAATTATGTTGTGAAGTTCATTAGTTTTAACTTATTAGCATATAAATACCAAGTTCACCATTAGCATATAAATGCTTAGTAAACTAATAAACTAAGCATTTATATGCTAATATAACTTTTTTATATTTTTTTGTAAATTTTATATTATTTCTGTTCTTATTTTTATTTAACATTTGTATATTTAATGAATTATATGAAATTTGAGTAGTGACTCATAGGTTAAATCCGGAGACCTACTAACCGAGTATCTATGCCGTGCCAATGACAAGCCAAGCTACATGTCAATCAAATATTAAACAAATCAAATTATTTGTTACAATTTAACATAAATTTTAGTAATCAATGTATATTAAAAAAATAATTTTTCAAAAAATTTAGGATAGGAAAAATTCACTTCTTGCCCCTTAAAAGTTTTATTTTTGTCCCAAATATTAACTAAACTCATCAAATTTGTCCCCTGCCAACTGTAGATTTGTGCCTACATAAGATGCCATGTCAGCGAATTCGGTCTGATAGTGCACTAGATCTAATTGAAAGTCTCCAAATAGTAAAGGGACCTTCAAATTGATTTAACCTTATAAAAGCGAAGAATAGAAAAAAACTTCTCTTGATCTCACAAATAACAAAAACTATTTTCACATGCCTCAGGTTAGGAGTGTCAGTCTAGAAAAATCTGCTTTCATTAAAGCTCTTCAAATTTTAAAATAAAATATTAGGGGGGGAAAATGGAATTCTGGCTAAAAAAGTTACCAAGTCATTCAATCTGTTTCCAAAACCAGATATCTAATCCAAAACATCTAATTTTGAGTCTTTGACTTTTAGGTGGTCACCCAAAATGAACAATATGAGATATTCCTAAGAAAGTTAAAAACATGATAAGACAATGGTATTTTAGAAGATAGATAAATAAACATAGGAGAACAATATTAGCAAACAAGGAAGCAGGATCTCAGGTTAAACAAAAGCATACCAAGCTGGTGCACGCTTTCCAACCTTGGGATCATCTCCATAGTACTTATCTGAATTAACCTCATATTTATAAGTTGGTGGGAAGTTTAACATGCCTTCCGACCATCCTCCAAATGCACCGTTGTTGAGTTCTTGCACAAGCTGTCATAATAAGATTGTGTCAATTTACGAAACAGCCAGAACGTCACATTAAAACTAGAGTTCATTTTTCGAAGCAGATTCTTTTCGCATTTCAAAACACATGGAACTAAAATGAACAAGTACATGTGTTATGGAGTATAACTATCTAACTTGGTCCAATTGGGAACCATGCAATTCAGGGAAGAGAAAACGAAATTTGTGCTTACAACTACACAGTGGAGAGTTAATTATATGGAAAAAAAGTACTAAATACAATTTTTCAGTTTCCAAATAGCAATGACATTGATCTGGACAAAAGACTTGTTCACATATCTCCTATCAGTTTTTCATTTTTGAATCTCATAATATACAATGTTTAATACGAATGTAAATATATATAAAAGGGTAAAATCACCTACATAAATATTGATATTTTATATATCTAACACGAAATAGGATTAATAGTATTTTGAAATTTTTCATTTTAATGTATATTTCTATGGACAAATAGTCATTCATATTCTATTATTGATTTCATCACTTTCTGGTTTCTATAAATAAATTTTCTTGGTTTAGAAAGAAATAAATAGATTCACCAAATAGAATAAATTTCTACACCGAAGCTTTCAAATTTATTACTAAATGACAATTAAAATTACAATTTCTAGACACTGATAAATAGTGACAATCAAGTCTTAAACTTTTACTTCACTATCACACTTTGTACCTAACAAGTGCATATTTATATTTAAATCAATCTCTTCTATAACCAATCACTACATATCTAAAGTTATAATTGAAATAATGCTCTTAACTAGCAGTATTATGACTCGTTAATTTAGTATGAAATGAAAAGAAACTAACATTAGAATGGCAGCACTGTTTTGCAAAAGATTTTTACTTATTACACCTCACAAACAAGAGATCAAGGGACCAAAAAGTTACTTTATAGAATTGTTTTTGGAAAAAAAAAAAAGCCTCTAAGTTGGCTTCAACCCAATCAGGTTAGAAAACACCAGATTCGACTTTGTAAATTGTGCTCCAGAGGAATGTTCTGGTGCAGTACATACTAAATATAAGAGTTTCTATAGTACCTGGTCTTTCTCAACCAATTTTGACCACTGCTTTTTTGAGATAAGGGCTCTTGTTTCCACATTTGATAAGTTGATACGGTAATTCAGATCACCCAACCAAATTATACGTCTGTACATAAATTGGAATTGATTAAGCAATTATAAAACACAACATTTAAACACGGAATTTCAGTGACCAAACAGAAACAGAAGGAAGCTAAAAATGCACCAACCAAGTGAATGAAACAAGAGTGGGCAAACTACCTAAGTTACTAAATTATGGCTTGCAATTATTTTTGACCACTTTAAACACACAAAATGAAGAGGGCGAGCCTAGATCAACAATAAAGTTGCTCCTTTGGGACTTTCAATCATGGGTTTGAATTCGAGAAACAATCTCTTTGCTAATATACAAGGATAATGTTACATACAATGATTGTCATCACCCCAACCTCGCTAGCCGGGGTTTAATGGGAGTGGTTTGGTTGAAGGGTTTTGTTTTTCTCCTTTCACATGAGAGGAGAAATTTTCCTACACACATATTTCATGTGGGTCCTACCATAAGAAATTAAAAAAAATAAAAAACAAAGTACATAAATCGAAGTATGAGTGACATGAGAAAGTATTTCCCCTAGGTTTAAACACACAAAATGCTTAAAGAATATTGAATTATTTGGTCATATAAGATATTCTGCTTATATAGTTAGATTCAAATATCAGTATCTCAATCAAATAAAAACTGGCAAAAATATTAGAAGAAATTAACCTTTAGGATTTTCACATTATGGATTACTCTTCTTCATTAAATTTGAAAAAACTAGGATTTTTTCAGAAGGGAAGGAAGGTAGACTGGTAGAGAAGTAAATAAACAGAGTACATAGTCATATAGAGAACAAAAACCAAACAGCAAAAGGAATACACATCATGAAAGCATCTCATGGCAATCCCACTGCACAACAACAATAATCAAGCTTTATTCCCACCACGGGTTGGCTACAAGAATTCTAGTATGCCAGTCAGCTTAATCCTGTATTATAAATTAATGAAGCCTCATGTACCCTATATCCTTCTTAATAGTAGTAACCCACCATGACCTTTTTGGTCTCCCTCTACCCCTCTTTAAAAGGCATCATTTGTAATATCACATCTTCTCACAGGGCATGCAGGTAGGTTAACATTTTACAAGATCAAACCATTCTCAAAATGGTTTGTCATCACGCTTTCCTCAATAGAAGACAATCAAACCTTCTCTCTGATTAACTCTTTCCTAGCATTATCCAGCCTAATATGTGCACTCATCCATAACAACATCCTCATTTCTATGACCTTCATCAGAATCCAAAACAATTCCATAAAAATAACTGTCTCCCATAAGAGTGACAGAAGCAAGGTTTATCCTTAATTATTTTAGTATTTTCATCCGACCAGAGAGGTAGAAACACCATACAACAACAAAAGCTGCACATTGCTATAACACCTTGTCCCTAATATGAAATATCATATTTCATGAAACAAGTCATACTATAATATCATGCAATAATTTCAGCTAGTGTCTCTCCTAGTAACGTAGTGTGTGTTTGGTTTCCCATTAGGAAAGCCCCACCATATCATGGTTTGGGCACAACTTGTTTCTTGTAGCTTTTGCCCAAAACATGGTATGGGGATTCCAAACGAGAGACCAAACATGCTTATTAGTTATACCAAACTTAATGAAGAAGACAATAACAATTATAACCACATACGTAAAACTAGACAAAATAGCAAATGTTTTCTAACTATAGGACAACTAGTCTAATTTTGTTTTCTTCTTTGTTTCTTTATGTACATCTTTCATTCCTATAATTTATTATCTATGCATTTGAAATCCATATCAAGACATTGATATTACAGAATATATAAAGGTGATGGAATCACAAAATGAATATGTGCGTGCGTGAGAGCATACCAGAGACAAAGAATTAGCTACCAGAATGTTATTTGTAATGCACTTGTCAATCAAATAGAAATTGCTTCACTTAAGTAATACATAATTATACCAACTCTTTCTGATCTACAGATTGTATAAAGGCATTCCACAGTACTTAGTACTTGCCTAGGCTGGCAGTGCCTTACCAGAATACTTTGCCTTCATTGCAAAGGCACTTTGTGGCACTTTACCCTGCCTTTTCCATTCCCCTGTACCAAGTGCACATTTATATAGCAACATAAGTGTAAAGTTCAAGAGAAAAGGTAACCCTCCATTGTCAAGGGTTATTGTCAGTGGCTCTCATGTTGGTGTTACAACTAGTGTCAGGCACTACGGCTTATTTTATGTTGGATAGAAACTCATTGGCACACCATTGAGGAGTCAGGAGTCATAAAAGCAAATCCATGAGCCACATAATCTTTATCTAAAGCTAAATACAAGTGAAAAGGCTGCTCAATTGCAACAAATACAGCCTGTTATGACATGTTGAGATAATATGAATTCAGGTACAGGAGGAAAATGAATACCCAGAGTAATAAAATAATATTGATATTGTTGTGAATGATGTATTATGATACAATACAAACTACAACGCATTAATCGCTATATATACTTATTAGACCCCAGCATTAATCTCTCCTTGTTCCGCAAATCTCAGTAACAGTGGACTATTCCACTTCTCCATTCTTTCCATTCTTGCTTCTCTTGATCTGTTTTTGGGCTATTTACTAATAAAATTGAGTTCTTCCATCTAAAAAACCCTAACAATTGGTCTGGCCTACCAGCTTCTTTTTTGGGGGAGAAATGGGAAACAGAGTCGAAGCATTGGAGGGTTCGGTGGATCTCATATAGCCTTCGTATTAGAGTACATGTGTTTGATTTTGGTCTGAGAGGACACAACCAGATAATTCATCAATTTCCTTACATTCTAATTTTTTTTTAAAAATATAAGTAGCCACCTCAGTCCATGTCAAACTCCCATTTCCCACTATAAGCACAATTTTGGGCTCAATATAATTCAAAGGCATAGAAAAATGATAAACCCATAGAAAGATGAGAGCAAATAATTAATCAAAAAGACAAAAAAACGAAGGACCAGGTAATTCAGTGCACAAGGTAAACATATAATGTAGAAAAATGTACAACAGTTCTAAAAAGGAAGTATAATAACAATTCGGTTTGTCATAGTATATTAAAGCAAGCACTCACTCGTGATCAAGGATTCTTTTGGGAAGTCCAATATAAGAAAGTGAATGAAAATGGGTTCTACGAAGTATCTCATGAACATCAGCATTTCTTTTAAGTTCATCTCCTTCCTTTTCACCGGATGTAAGGTGAGTGCATATGAAACAAAATAGCGTCTGATATATGGACATGCTTACAGATATTGATCCCTGGAAAAATTGAAAAAGTTTTTACAATCTGATGCAAAAATAATATTGATCAGATGGTTGCACGACTCAATATTAAATATTACCAATATTAAATCAATCTAGTTCAAAAAGACAAGATGAACTAAAAAAAGATCAGCATAATCATCACAAGAAATCATGTTAAAGATTAAAACTAATCGGTGTAACTAGTAAAGAATTTATATCAATTCAGATAAATCGAAATAAATCCTTCTTTGCCGGGGCTATTAGGTTTTGGAGAGGGCTATTCCCCCCTTTTCCAAAATTTTGATTAAAATATGATCAATTAAAAGATAAGGAGGAAACCAACTTTATGCATGATGCGAGGAAATTATCTTGGGCAAGATGGGCAATTGATTTGTTATTGAACAAGATAAACAGCAAGATGATAACAAAATCACTAAGCAATTGATTTGTTATGAAACATAACTACTGTGTTTCAGTCCTTGGTAGGTAGCAAGCAAATATGTAAGAACCTAATATCACGTGATAATGCAGGAAATTGTATATGAACAAAAAAAAAAAAAAGAACAAAAGATGAATTATCAAATGATAATATGACAATATAATCACTAAAAAAATAAAAATAAAAAACATACAAACTCAAGCAGTGGGAAAAAAAAGAAAAAAAAAAAAATACTGTGAAGAAATAGAAAATACCTTGTTACCAATATAGCCCATAACACCAACACCAACCGTTGAAACCTTTACATTCTGAATATGTTTACGCAAGCTTCGACGAACCCATACGGTGATGAAAATCCCAACCATCTGCTTGCTCACAATCCTTACATATGAAGATCTTCTTTTCCGCTTCCTTAAAGCTTCAAGGTCAATTTCAGGAAGCAAACCAATCCCAGGTATTTCATCCATAATTGACTTGAAAGAATTATATGTTCTGAACGACTTTGATGATTTAAAGGATTTGACTGATTTAAAAGAAGTTGGCCTCTCCAAACCTCGCTGGGATAACAGATGTAGTGGTGGCTCTGGCCAGCTCAAACCAATCCTTTCAGACCCACTAAGCATTCGGGTTAGTTTAGTGGCCTGTTGGGCATATGATGTGTCCATGTTTTCTTGCGAACCTTGTAGCCTATCAAACCTCTTTGGAAAGGAAAACTGTCTCTTTAAATCAATTTCATCTGGCATACCGGAGTTGGCAATATCAGCAGCATTGGAAGCCAATAAATTTGTATTCATGATTTCATCCGTGATTGTTCCGTTAGTACCTCCATCACAAATATTGTGTTCTTCATCCAAAGGATGTACTTCCTCACCAATGTCACTATCACTTTCAAGTAATATTTCTTCTTCTATACCAGGGACATCATCTGATGGCTTAAATCTTGATGGAGATGGAGGATCACTAAAGGATTTTATCTTCAGTTCTGCAGGTCGAACTCTATTCAGTGTTTCCCGAATAATATTCTCCCATTTTTGAACAGGACGAGTATCTTCAGCACCAAAAATGTTACCAGGGTTTAAGGGAACAATCTCTTGAAGACTGCAAGTGTAAAGCATTGTTTTAGTAAAACAAACGGGGTGGATCTTGATATGCATGAAATAGAAGTGATTATATCAGAAAATATTTTAAAAGTCATTACAAAATGGCATCAGATCTATTCAGGTGTACATACGATTCAAACGAGGAGAAAAAAGAAACTTATGACGAGGACCAAAAATTCATTAACATATATGCCAAGACCAGCTTACCATGATGAATATTAACAGTATTTGATGTATATATGTCAGCTCAACATAATGTATTTTAAGAAGTATTCTCAGTAACAACCAATGGAGAACTTACCCAAGGACATAGATGTCAGCCGGTTCATTGACACCAAACCATTCATCAACATCTAGATCATCAGGTGGAAGTCTTCCTCCAACATTCCAAGTGCCAACACATACCCTAGGAAGCAAATATACATCAGAATCCAGATAAGAGAGGCTTCAGAAATACTGCAAAATAAACAGTTCTTTTCACACTTTCAAAGCAGTGCAACTATTGTTTACTCTTGCTTGCTAAATAAACATGAGAGTTGTGCCTCACCTCAACTCCTTCATGTTTATATACTGAGATCTATAAGTCGAAGACTTTTGCCTCCTTAACCTTGGAAGAAATTCTGTAATTCAATAGAAATTTGGGCTATTATACAGAAGCAATAAAGAAAAACAATATATTAAACCTTCACAGTTTGCAGAATAGATGAAAAATCAGAAAAGACTAATATTAGAAGTTAGAACTGGATGTTCATGGAGCTAATTATTTCAGCAGCATGCCATGACTTTTTTGTGATAAGCAGATTACAACTAGGGAGGAAGAATGTCTCCATACAGGAATAATGTTACAAAGGTTTTAAATTTTAATTACATGACAGTAAACAATTTGATTTGCCTAATTTAGCAACCATGTTTATATTAAATGGAGAAAATCAAGTAGTTTCCAACGGCCTACTACAGGAGGAATTATCCAAACTGACAAGTAAGCAACAACAAACTACAGAGATGTATCATTCTTACACCCACTGAAAAGCCTTATGCCAGTCTTCAAATTATGTTAGAAAAAATGAATAAAATTCTGCATTTCACAGTTGATAAATTAGAGCTTTCATGAATGGAAAAAGTCACCATTTGATTCACTAGGAGCTTCATCACCTCTGTTGTCCATAAACCGCGACTGTCTTGGCCACTCTACATTATACACCAAAACCAAAAGTGTTCAACAGCCAAAAGACATAGGAGATCATTAAACACAGCCTACAATGCCTAGAAACAATCTCAATTTTGAGTTTTCTGATCATTTGACAACTGACATACACCCCAATGCTCAATTTTCCAAATTCTAATCAAATTAACAAAATCCACAGCAACCCACTTCACCAATCTTCAAAATGTAAAAAACACAGGCACTCAAAATAATAATAGAATCATTGTTGTATGAACTCACCTTCATTGTCTGAATCACTAATAGGATCCCCTTCATCATCATCATCATCATCAGGGTCAGCACTGTAATCAGAGTCGTTGCTTCCCATGTTAAGCAATTTGCGCAAGACCACCCTTGCCCAGAAGAGCTGTATGCAGGACCAACCCAAACAACATAGTTCAGCCCAAGTCCTCTGCAATTTTCCTCAGTTTCCCAAAATCAACAAACCCCATAACACCAAATACAGCAACAAGAACAACAAGAGTCCAGAAAGAAAGAATCCATAAGAGAGAGAGAGAGAGAGAGAGAGAGAGAGAAACAGTACCTGGTTGTGATGTGGTGACCTTTGCCTCATCACTGTTGATAACAGGTTATTAAAATACAACAAAGCAGAATAAGAAAATGAAGATGGGTATGAAAGCAATGCCTTAAAGAAGAAGAAGAAGAAGAACGGTTAAGCCTTAAGAGGGAAGATTGAGTTGCCAATACACAGTGAGATAACAATAATGGCAGTTAGAGCTGAAAACAACAATCTTTTCTTTTTAAGATTTTGAGGCGTTGTCTGTGGAATTTAATTGAGTCAATTGAGAATTTGAAGCGGTTGGTTGAGTTAAAATTTTACAAATTTAAAATAAAAAATGTATTGTGGGGAAGATAAAATTATTTTCAATACACGTATAAAAATTAAGTGAGATTTATATATATTTTTTGTCTTTCTCCTTTGATGGTGGATTCTTTCGTATGCTAATTAACATGTGGGGCAATTATAACCACTGGTGATAAGGGAGGAAAGAAAAAAATATAAGAATAGGAAGTTACACAATCATTATCATTGATTTAATTATTAATGGTTAAGACTCTCTCACATGACATGATGATCATGTTAAAATACACATTAGAAGATCCATTTCCATATAAAAGTATATGAGATTTATATGTTTTTTTTTATTGTCTTTTCCCCTTATATGAATTTTTTTATATGTATCAAAGTTAATTTTATATCCAATGACAAGGAAACACCGTATCCATAAAATAAATAAAGGATAAGCGGTTTGACACAGATTTGTTAGCCAAAATAAGATATAGGTTTTAGTACTGTTTCATGATTATCAAACAACATTTGACATGTTTTATAAGACGGCAACAAGTGCTCCTTTGAGAATCCTAGGCCTAAGTCAAGGTGGCCGGTTGGATTATTCTACTTCTACTTTAAGGATTTTTTTTAATTTTTTTTTTCAATTGGACTCAATTTTTCTTGAAATATTCACACACTTTGATAGATAGTTATTAGTATTGCACGATGTAGATATGATTCAATTCGAAAGTTGAAACAAAGATTTTCAATTTCCAATGTTTAGAAAAACAGAGAATAACTTAGAAAATAGAAACATTCAAACTATATACAAATAACTTATATAAAATTATTTTTATTATATTTCTCAATCTTATTGTACCGTTACGATCTATAGGCCCACTATATTTTCTTTGGAGATGATGTCACTGTATGGATGGTGCCACTAGCAGAGGTAAAGACCAAGCTAGAAGACACTGTTCCAAGTATGAAGGCAAGAAGATAATAATGGAGGATTTAGTGTGTGTATATGTGACTTAATACAAATGAGCATAATAACGACACATAAGATACCTTCTTCATGTGCCCAGGGGGCTATTTATAGGGAAGGTGATGTGAATCTTGCTTGGGTTGGTGAGGAGAGGGTCAACCCTCCTTGGGATCTGCTAAGGGTGGCAGTGTTGGGCGTGGCAGACGCTGCTGTGATAGCAGCGCTGCGCCCCCTGTGTCTGGCGGTGTCAGCGTGGGACAAAGGGCAGTTTCCCCTTATGGCATCTGGGGTGACTACCTTTGGGGGTTGGGGTCCCAAGATAGGACATTTTGGTGTTTCCCCTAGGAAGAGTCGTCGCGTTAGGAGTTAGGGGATCTTACCAGCTGGTAGGGCAGACGTGGATTGAGGGTTGAGATTGGGCCTGGACCTTTGGGCCGCTGTGTTGTTGGGCCATCCGGAACAGGAGCCCCCCAGCTTGGTAGCAAGCGTAGGTTGGTGCCAAGGTAAATGGGCTTTGGCGACGCCTTCTTGGCGATCTGAGCGGTCTGCAAGGGGCTTTTTGGGAAAAGGCAGTCATTCTGACAGGCAAGGTGGCTTTTCGGTTTTCAAGGAGCAGTAATGACGGGTGCTTCCATCATTGCAATTAACTGCAGGCACTCAAGCGTCACGAGGCACGGTGCATTAATGCGACGTGAGGGGTGTCTTGTCCCCCTGTAATTACCATCGGGCCCCTCATCACAACCGCCCATTACCTGACGGTTGTGCCATCCTACGATTGAGAAAGGAGGGCACTACACGTGTATGTCATCCTGATCCTTTTCTCCCTATTTAAAGGAAAGAAGGACCTCCTTGAGGACCTTCTTCACGAAACTCAAGCTCCTTATTGTTCCTGCCTTGTTTTCTCTATGTGTGAGTGTGCTCGTGCCGGTCTTCTTTTCTTCATTCTCTGCATTATCTCAGGTACAGTGTTTCTGGCTTCCTCCTTTGATATTTCTTTACATTTCTTTGGCTTTGCTTCCCTTCTCCTTTTTCTTGTGATGGTTAAGTTTACGGAACCCATCCCTGGTTTAATATTGCTTGAGTTGGAAGTGGAAGTTAAGAAGGAAGAGTTTGATGAAGCTTTCGACACACTGGATGGCAGTGCAGTGGGGCCAGCTATGCAGGAATACCTGGCTAGTCGTTCCCCAGACCGCTCTTTAATTCCTGGGGTCGAGTCGTTACCCCATGGTAGGATACCTGAGCTTCTGGGTTTTAGTGAAGAAGAGATTCAAAATCTCTTACCGGAGAGGGCATTAGGACCTGTGGTTCCGTATTCTGGTGAGGCGTCTGGTTCTCGTCTTCATGGTAGGTGCCATGTGGCGACTGGAGAGAAGGCTTCTAAATCTGGTAGGCGCCAGTCTGCAGGATCTAGAAGGCGACAATCAGGGGGATCTGGTGAGGGGGCTGGACCTCGCCCTTCACGAAGGAGTCATTCTAGGCCTTCTGATCGTTCTTGTGATCAGGGGGCCGCTTCGCGCCGCCGTGTTTCGCGACGCACTGATCTTAGAGTTAGGCGACTTATTCGGCCTCTATCCAATATTAACCGCCAACCGCAAAACCGTCCATTAGAGTATTATTACAAGCCTCGCCAATCTTCAGTTGCCCTTTGTACATCTCATGGACAAATTCCCAACATTTCCCAGTCCTTCCATTGCCGTAACTATGACGAGTCAACTGACAACCGATTGGGTAGATACCACCCAGAGGATGGTCGACTTACAAGGTATGGCGTCTGGGATGCCATTTATGAAGACCTGGGGCTTTATAAGATACCGCCTGCATGGTGGCCTTCATCTTTAAGCTATTCATATTTTTATACATCAAGCTCTTCGGACACCTCTGATTCTTACGGTAAGTTTCTTGTGTTTGAGTTGTTTTTGATTGGCTTATTGGTAAGGGGATGTCGGTGGTCTAGGGAGTAGGAGCTGGGTGGTGTGGATGTTCAGAGTTTGACTCTTTGCTGATCTTCTTGGCGCTGGATGAAGTTTTTGGCGATTGACTGTGTGTTTGTCGCTCCCAGGTGTGATTTGAGGGTATTCTCTTGTCTTGTGGCAGTTGCGCAAAATCACGAACGATTTTCGGCGAGGAGTTGGGTAGATCCGATGGTGACAACCTCTTCATCTTGCTATATTAGTGGAGCTATTTTGGACCAGGCTTACCAGACGGAGGGAAATTTCGATATAACTGAAAATGTCAAAAACGAGATGATGTGGCAAAGCACTGCGGTCAGACATGCTACAAAAGTTTGTGGCAGGCCTCGCTGCGGGGCGATCTCTCGATGGCGGTTCATGGTGTACAAGACTCATTTTACAGATTAGAAAGTTAGGTTTCCTTTCTCTGAGTTCGAGATGGGGTGTTAGCCTATCTTCGGGTCGCGCCTTCTCAACTGCACCCTAACGCTTGGGCGTTTGTACGAGTGTTTGAAAAGATATGTCGATATTTTGAGTGGGTATGCTCTGTGCAGCTATTTTTTTATTGCTTCTAGGTGTGGCCTTCGTTGAAAAAGCTTGGCTAGGTTTCGTTGAAGGCGGGGAACGGACTGGGATCGATATTTGCTCAGTATGCCAACTCGTATAAGAACTGGAGGGGGAATTTTTTCTGGATTGAACCAGTGCTTGGCGAGGGGGAATTGCCTGTTTTCATTGACCGGGCGAGTGGGGAGAGTCGGTTTCCGCTATATTGGACTAAAGCTCATTATGAGATGCCCGCCAGTCAGTATTCGTTTGGGTGGGGAGCTTGTCTCCTGAAGAGGCATTGGTAGTGGATTGGTTTGTGGAGGTTAAGGGGGGCCTTGACCGGTGGCCTTCGAAGAGAGTGTTGTGTTATGGAGGTGTGGTGGTGTTTCTTATCATTTGTGACTATGTGGTGAGTATTAACTGTCTTTACTAACACTTGTCTTTCCTGTCTTGCAGTTGAGAGCTTGCCGATGGAAACGTTGAGACTTGCACGTGAGGCGGCTGCTAAGCTCAAGGTGGCTAAGGGTGTGGTTTCTCAGGTTAACCTAAACCCTGCTGCGAAACGAAAAGATGTGGACAAAGGAAAGAAGAAAGAAGCCCACCATAAAAAGAAGAAAATTTGATTTGCTGCTGATATTCCCGCCGGAGAGTTGAAGAGGAGGGCGACTGGCCCTATAATTAAAGAGCCCACGAACGTGGTGGGAGGTTCGTCGGCGAGCAAGTCGACTTTCAGATCAGTGTCGCCAAGTCGTGGAGGATCAGGTCTGAAACGGGGGGAGATGAAAGCTTAATCCTGCTAGAGGGTTCCAAGATGCCGCGCCTCAAACTGTCAGAGTCTAGGCAGTTTACAGATAGCGACTGCCACATCTCGGGTGGCTTTCTTGAGGACTCAGGCGATGGTGGGATGATGGTAACTAACGCTCTTGGTGGCTGAGAGCCTCTGGTAACAGCTGATGCGCAGGATCCTCCTCCTCCTCCTCCTCCTCCTCCTGCTGAGATCCCAGTTGGCAGGGCCCTCAAATTATCAGAGAGGGACCTTGACTCTGCTTTTCCAAACATTGGGCGACCTAAGATGGTGGTGTCAGAACGAATCGAGCGCCAGGAATTCATGAACTGCACGCAAGTGGTCATTGGCTGAATCTTGGGTATGCAAGAGGTCTCCCTTGTTGTTGACAGTCGCTGCTCCGCTCAGGATGACCGCATTGATGAGATGGGGCGTAAGGTAGATGATCTCACTGCTGAAGTTCGGCGCCTCGGTAAGGAGGTTAATGACAAAAAAGCTGCGAACAAGTCTCTGG